TCACACTCATGTCAATCCATGACCCAATTTCACTTGGATTAATTTGACACCCAAGACTGTTTAAATGATCTATCTCTTCATCTGGTGCACCAACATTCCAAAAGAAATCCACCATATTTTGAATCAATGCACCTTGTGGGCCATACACTCGCCACGACAACTTGTCGGTGTTTCCTGAAACAACAAGCATATATTGAATCGATTGTCCAGGCTCAAGCGCATCAGGTTGTGGTGTCGAATCCATCCAATATTTCCAAAATTCAACTACATTCTCTCCTTCAGCTTGTAACCATGGGATCTTTGCTTTCACTTTCGCTATATTCTTTCTGCCATCACATTTCGCCTGTAACGCTCCTTGAATCGATACACTCGTTGTGTTTTGTGTCACTGGCGCCGTTGCAACAACAGGCGCTTGTGGCGCTGCACTCGCTGAATTTTGTGGTGCATTTGGCGTAGACACATTAGTTTGTGTTGTTACAGCAGGTGCTGTCGGTGTTGTCTTCGTGAGTGCTTTCCGTACCGCATTGAAAAATGATTCATGATCGATCGAATTTTCAGTCACTATGAAAAATACTCGTGGGCCTCTACTCATCACTCTTCTGTTCTATCCGTTCGAAAAATCACTCTATTCTTCTATTATATATAACTTCCTATAACAAACTTCAAGTTCCGAGAATTGATCGAAAACATAAACTTCTTGTTCTCACTAACATCTTTTGTTTCCGTTCCAGGTATTAACTCTATAAACCCTTTCGCTGACGTCGCCGTCTTCGACGCAAAATACCACAACCGATTCTCTTTCAACACAAACCAGCGCTTCTTCCACGTCTTCACTGCTCCTCCTTGTTTCTTCCCCCACCCTTCATACAGGTTTGGCCTTAAACTCTCTACTGATACATGTAAACTCTCTTGGTCTTCCGCCATCTATCGATCTTGTTCCATTCCAAGTTGTTCCCGTTTTTCGAGTTTTTGTGAAGAAGATACTAATTTTTCAAATTTTGTTTAAACTATAAGAGATTATTAAAAAATAGTTAAAATATTGCATTCATATTGTTCCTTCTTACCTAGAAAAATTCTTAATAATTTATTTGGTTTGATGCCTGTAATTGCCTATAAAGTTGAACTAATTATCAAGGTTTTCATTTTTTGTAGTTCTTATTTAAAATATAAAAAAAGATTTTCTCTCATTTGGATATAAAAAAATCTATATTTACTGTTATTAAGTTATTTTATATGTAAATAATATATAAACTTAAAAAACAACTTAGTTTTTATTGATTTGTATTACCAGTAAAAATATAAAGACAGTCTGGAAACGATATTTATTATATTAACCTTATTTATTGATTATGATTGGTTGATTTTTTTCTTTTTTACAACTCAAAAATTACAAACAAAAACAAAAAATAATTAATTCGATTGCCAACGATTCACGCTAAAAACTAAGAAACAATACTTTATTACATCAACTAACAAAACTATTTATTTGCTACACGACATAAACAAAAAAACATCTTGACATGTTCAAAAACGTGTTAACGAACACGCACCAAACGATCAAATACAATTATGAATCAAACGATTGTAACTGAAAAATATAAAACAACGAAAATCAAAGAATGAAAATGTGTTGTAAGTCGAAGATAGAGTTGTGGAGTTTCAGACAGCTAGTTTTTAACTCATCAATTTTTGAAAAATGTTATAAACTTTCCACTTAGTTTGTTAGCAACATTTACCGTTATTTTGTTCAAAAATATTACCAAATCAACTGTATTTATTAATTTTGAAATGTTTGAAAATGATTGGTGAAACGGTCTAAACCTTATTTATGTTATCAGTTGTGTTATTGGTTATTTAGTTTATGAATAGTTATATTTTAATATTTTTTGGACTTATCTCTTCCCGTAAGTTGGGACATTTTTATTTAAAATTGACAAAAAAACTTTTTGGGACTGGCTTCAGTCTTAAAACAGCGAAAAATATTTGTTTTTTAATTGTTTAAATGGAGATAAGCACTTAAATTGAAGTGGTTTCATTCAATATTTAAATTTATTTAAGTTTGAAATAACTAAAAAATTAAAAAAATGGGTAGTTTTATAAAAAAACTTTTTTTATCAACAGAAATATGATAATTTTGTTCAAAATTATAATTTATTTTTATAATAATATATGTAGTTAATTAATACATAATATTAACATTTAATATAAATGTTAATATTTATATATTATTGTAAACAAACATAAACTTAAATGCTTAAATCGGAAGGTAATTTTAAACATGAAAAACTATACCAATAATTGGATTATTGTAAACTATCAGAAAAATAATAATTGATAGTTACAGTCTGTCTTTAAACTTTATCTGGTACCTTTTGGACCATAAAGATTATAATATTCCAGTAAACCGTCCTCAAAATCCATTTGTTTCGAGTTTTTTTCACGTTTTACTTTATGCTAGATGTTTAGACAAAATTAAAACACTTTTAAGTCCACCAAATAAAGTTAAAAGACTTACTCCAATGAAAAAATGGATCAATTGTAAAATGTTATTTAAGAGATTTTGGAATTACACAACAACATCAATTTTTATTTTAAAAATAGTGATTATTATTTAACGAATGACTTTACTGATTTCCCAAAAATCTTTAAATAACTACTTAAGTAAAAAAATATGATAAAACGATATACATTTCTACCTTTTAAAAATAATACTTACCCCTTTTGGATTTAACATGCCAAGTTTTAAAAAACAAACAAAGCGAGAATTGAACAACTCGAATGACAAAAATACCAACATATGTATAATAATCGTTGCAAATAAAGGCATTTTTATTTTGTTTTGACGAAACTGTTCAAATTCAAACTTTTTGCTCTTTGCATCTAGAAGATTACTCATTGAACTATATTTAACTTTGTTATTTTTACCTCTGTTTTCGCAAATACATTTAATAGTTAAAATTATTAGCAATTAAAAAGATAATTAAAACAAAATGGATTATTTTTCTAATACATTGTTTTCAACTTTTCTTGTGGTTCTGTAATGTTTTTTGGAATTATTTTCTTCGAAAACGGAACTTTTAAATAGTAATAGATTGCTTTATTTTCCTATTATTATAAACAATACAACGTATTTAATGGCAAAAAACAGTGAGTTCAGGACTTTTCGAGCTCTAAAAAGTCAACAAATTTTGTAATCAGCGATTTATACAGATAAATAATTATTATCGAGTAAAAACCACAACTTTTATTTAAAAAAGTATTTGTCTGAAACCAAATTAAAAAAAAGGTTACTCAAGAAATGCCCAAAACAGAACGAAAGATCGAAAAAGTTTCAAAAAGATTTTTTGTACTGTTTAAAAACACTCTGGAGAAAAATCATATTAAATAATGACGACAGTTTTTGTGGTGAAATGGAATTAATTTCGTTGTATATAAATCGGATAACACAAAAATCAGTCATGAAGTCTTCGCTAAATAAAACACCAAGGTTCATCGAAGTGAGGAATTTCCAGGTCTACGAAGGAATGGTTCTTCTTTCACTTATCAACACGAGGTTTAACATCACGCTACGAATACCAAATAAACGAGCCAATGTTTACGAACAGATATTAATGGTTGATTCTGTGTGGAACAAATCCATGCGGATTGATGTAAAAAGTTATATTAAACAACGTTGTGACGAAAGAATGAAAATTGAAGTGAAATCTGGGTTATCACCAAAAACAGCTCTCAGAAGACGACATAACAACACTATAATCGAGACACTGGTATTCTTGATTGATTTGGTTCTAGAAATGGGATACTTTGTGGAAACAACAGAGTGTGGAGGGAAAAAAGGAACACTGAAAGAAGAATATATCAGAACTATATTTAAAAACAACAGTGTTGTGTTTAACGAAAAAAGTCTTTGTTTCTATGGGAAAAGAATTGGAGATTATGTGACTTCCCGTGAAGTCGTTTATGGATCAATAATGATTCATGAGAATGATAAGACTATACAGAATATTATTGTGTTGACCAAATTGTGAATTATTTATTGCTTTTATACAAATTGTATGAAAGTTGGACAAAAACACTATTTAATTGTTTTTTAGTGGTAATTTTTATTAAAAATAATAGCTTCCATGAAGCTTTTGTCTAACCATAATTCAATTCAATTTATAATTTAATATTTTTACTTAAAAAAACAAAATCCTTTTTCTTTTTCAAGATTTTTAGTGATTTATGTAAATTAATAATTATCCATACATGTCTAGCTCCGTGTAAATACTCGATCGATATTATTAATTGTATACAAATATGGCATATTGGTTGATTGTTATAAAATAATTAACGATTTTATAATTCTTATTGATTAATATTGTTCTTTCGATTGTAACTTTAATTGATTTTGAAGTAAAAAAATAAATATTTTTTTAATAAACAAATCGTAATCCAGCTTATATTATGTAATTCATATTTGAATAAACAAACACAAAAGAAAATAACAGTAAAAATCAAAGTATAAGTTGCAAAGAACTTATTTAAGTTAGAAAAATAGAATTGAAAAATGAGAACCAAATTTTGATCGTTTTTTTAAATCACTAACTCTTTCGTATATTAATTATTTTGGACACTCTGGTACGTATAAGTTTAATTAAATCAAATAATTGTATTAGTTATTAGATTATTATTTGTAAACTCACTTTGTTATTTATGCTTTAAAGTTTACAACACAAACAATTGATATCTGAGTTTTGTATTCGAAATCTGTTTTGCAAACGTGTTGATTCCTCAGACTGAAAAACTTCGTTCTGAAAAATAAATGAAGACCAATTGTTTGACTAGTAATTTTCTTTTATAGTAAGAAGTTTGTATGATGTAATTCTTTATTTATTTGCGTTTAATAGTATTAACCCGAAAAATGACAATATTTGTTTCTGTTGTAAATAATTAAAAATATTTATTTTTGAAGACTACCCGAAATATTTAACAAGCTGTTGTATTACACTTCAAGAAATAAACCTTCTTGTTTATTTTTTAATAAATATAAATTATAAAAATATTTTATATTTTTTAATTGTTGAATTTATTAAAATATATTATTAAAAATAAACTATAACTATATTATATTTTAAAAAATATAATAAATTCTAATTATAATATTACCATACTTATCCCATTTCCTTTCTATTTTTTTCTCATAATCTAAAACCTCATTTCTATTCCCGAAATATCATTAGTGTCATCAACAAATATTGGTGCCAAAAAAATAAAACGGAGTTATTGATTCTTAAGATATAATTAGTTGATTATCACAATGATTTAATTACTATTCTTTCCCCACTATTTGCGCTTAAGGGTTCTAACATCCGACAAATAGAATGAATCACAAATAGAGCAATTATTCCTTTTATTTTTCGTTATAATCTTTGCGACAAAACTTGAACTAAAAGGAAAACGCAACTCAAAAACACTTGAATGGACCAAAAAGAGCAGCACCACTTCCGGTCACGAAGCAAAAAGGCTCTATCGACCGCAATGCTTGTGTACAACGTGTTGTATATCGGAGGCGCCATCACATTCACAAAAACAAAGCAATCAAACTATGCGCTAAAAGTCCTTATTGGCAAAGAAGTTTTAATTGATAACGTTATTTACAACGAAGAATCAATGTCTGAGATATCAGACTCCTTCTGTCAGAAGACTCGATCAATCATTTTGGAATATAAAATGAACCGAGTCCGTGAAATTGACATCGACAAAACGTGTTACACAAAGGCACTCAATAAAAAAGCGGAAACAAAGGACGCAACACCAAAAACACTCATCACAATATGTCGAAATCGTGAAGCTGCGTTTTCCAACTTTTTGGCACACATTCTTATCGAACATAATTTCGTCCTTCACATCACGATAAAAACGATTAAAGACTCGACTAACGTCCAACCATTTTACGTGTGGGACGTCGTAACAGATAGTTTTGGTAAATCAGTTTCGCTTGAGAATGACGAAAATATATTTTCATCAATGGTCCAGAAAATCATTTCAAAAGTTCACTCAAAGCGAAGACTTACTGCAAATGACATCTTCGGCCCGCTCACACCAAGCGCATTTGTTCCTTCGGACACGTCTACGTTCGAAGTTATAGTCGACAGCCGTGGAAACCACGACTTCAACACCCCATTCTTGTAACTTGTTTTTGATTTAACTTATAATTCCTTAGAATAATAATATTTGTTTTTGATTTGAAAATTGGATAAAAACACTGAAAAATGCATGTTTTTATTTTTTTTAAATCAAAAATAAATATGGGATTTATTTTTGATTTATTTATTTCGTACTTTTTTAATTCTAATTGTGGTTGATTGGTGTTGTAATTTGTCTATTTTATATCCAAACCATTAAAACGTCCGTTATACTAACTAGTTTCATTTGTTGTAAATTATACTTGTATTTTTATTTAACTTTTTAATTCAAATTATAAATTATTTTTAATAATACTTTTTAATACAAAATTTATTATTATTATTATTATATTTTTAAAGTATTTGTCAAGAAAATCTCAAATTTTTTCTGTTTAAAATTAAAAAAAATCATTTTAAATAATTAAAAAATTATTAGTTAATATATTTTAATTATAATTTATTAAAACATATATTTGGTATATAATTTATTTTCTTATATAGTTTATTAAAATAAAATTTAATACAAATAAGTAAAAATAAAAATAGAAATAATAATAAAACCAATAACTATATATTATAATTTATTAAAATTAAAATACTAGACAAGTCGTCAATAGAATTTATTCGACAGCATTTAATTAAAATGAAAAATAGAAACAAAAGATGTGTTATTTTTCTTTTCACGAACATAATACATTAAATTAAAACAAGCTTCCATAAGAAGCAGAAAAGTTCGAATAATAAACTACTCCATCCGTCGACCCTGTCATAAGCATTGAATCGTCGAAGCTAACACAACTCACTGGAGACTCATGTTGGTATATAACAGTTTGTTTTCCTATCCAATTAGTAGTGCACTCATAAGACAATACAAGTCTATCTGTAGTCCCCACCACAAATCTTCTATTATAACATTTCAAACAATTGACATAGGAGAATGTAAGCCTTCTTGATGCGGCAAATTTGTTAGTCCTCATGTCGTACAACAATATCATCCCTTTAGCACCACACACAATATTCTCATCAAACCCGTCAAAGACTTGAATGGTTTTATTTGTTAACGGCGCTTTAAAAGCAACGCCATCACATCGCAAGTCATATCCAATAAGACACCCATCGACTCCAGAACTGACTACTAAATTTTCAGCAACTTTATCTGCATGAAGTATCTTCCCATCGTGGTGTTTGTACTGATTCACAAGACTTTTCAGACGAAGGTCGTACAAATCAACAACACCACTTTTCCACGCAATCATCGTGTTACAGTAATCAGTGAATTTCATCCCATCATATTCACACGTTTTCGTCACATTGTGCACTTCGTCAAATTTGTTGTAATACACTTTGACCTCCCCATCGGCAAATCCAATTAACATCTTCTCGACTTCGTGATTCGTCTCAACTGCGCGGATTTTCTCTTTAAAAAAGAACTCGTAGTAACTCTGGTAGTCAGAGTATCTCAGCCGCTTAATCCTTCCCTCCGAAGTCCCAACAAAGAACGTTGAGTCGACTAATCGAGGAAAGAGAAAGTCGACAGGAAGGTGTTCATACACTTTGATCCTTTGTTTAATCAACGGTGCTTTGTTCTGCCATTTGTGCCTTATTATCATCTGCTCATTGACTATTTCAAAGAAGTTATAATTGCTTCGTGGAGAAAGCCGAATGGTCGAGTTCAAATTTGCTTTATAGAATGTATAGGGGTTCAAGTACTTGTCATAGATGCCATGCCAGATCTCGTCTTCATTCTTGACAATCAAATAAAATCGTTTACACGTCGCCATAAAAGCGACTAAATCCGCCAATGGAAGTTGGGTCAAGAATAAGAAGAGAAGCCGCCGGTCAAGTTTGGTGATGTCTAACCCGACACCCTGTGGCGGGCACTTCTCGAGGGGGACAATTACTTTGAATTTGTGTTTGATCATCTGGGCCTGCATTATCAGTGACGACAGCAGAATCTTTTTTGACAGTGTAAATTCGTTGTCGTCAATTCCACATAACTGAAACGACGAGAAATTTTCTATCCCGACTCTTTCGAGTAAAATGGCGTCCATCAGAATTGTCAACTTTCTTTTGCGAATGGGCAAAGGCAAAAATTGGAATTGAGGACATCGGAAATGATAATAAAAGTCCGAGTAGGGACTCCCATCTATTCCAATGTTAATTGACTCGGCACATAAAACAACTTCAAAATGATCGTCGTTGTGCTTTTCAGTACACATCTGCTTTGTTGTCCGACACGCCGTGAAAATAGTTCCTTCGACTATTCTGGATGTGTACACGATATCAGACGTGGACACGCCTTGACCAAAAAGTGTCGTTTCAACGTGTTGGAAGAGAAGTTTCTCTGTTTCACGAATTGTCTTACAAACAAAGAAAATGGGGGACTTTGCGATGTGATTATATAAGCTTTCGATAAGCTTGAGAACATCAATTCTAAACTTTGATTTTCCTATTATGACCACTTCTGAGGCTTTTTCATTGCAAAGCATCGTGAAACATTTGTTGGAGTGGATCACATAAGGGAAGAGAGAAGTTTGGTCGACACGAGTCAGAAAGTCTCTCTCCATCTCCAACATTACTAAACCCTCTTTGTTATAGTTCAGAACCTCCCCGAAGTTATAAATGAATTTCCTTTGGTGGTTAATATAAAATTGGTATGTTCTATTTGTGATCTTTGTTTTGTCGAGTTGGATCTGTGTGATGACTTCCACCCCATTCTTTTTATTGGTACAGAGAAATGCATAGTATATACAATATGAGGGGTCATACTCAGCGTTAATAAAGAGAATGGAGTCATCACTCTTTTGGCATTCTTTGATATAACTCAGTTTAATCCTCTTTTCTTCAATCGAAGTCTTGGCTGATATGTATACTCGATTGCCTTCAACGCGATCAATCAAAACATCGGGAAATAATAACTGAACCAACTTGATGTTGTCTATAACCCTCCCCACTTTTTCTAAATTACTCGCAAATAAGCCAGTGGATCGAATGGTAACAGTACTCTCGTTGACAGATTCATATGTCTCTAAACAATTTACAGGTGGAGATATGACACTCGGTATACGGACCCAAGTGTGCTTGTTTTTTAGCATATCTTCAATAACCTCATCAACTTTCATATAAGAAAAAGTAGTTTAGTTTCTTTTCTTTGGGTAATATATTTTTGCTCTACTGTATTGTGTTATTTATAGCGTTTTTTGGTGTAATTTTCGTGCACATAATTAAACAAACAATCTTTAATTGTTTGTTTTGGAATTTCACTTGAAAATATTAAAAAACGATTGAGCTATGAGTTTTAGTTTAAAAATAGTTTTGAAATATTGGTGTATTTTATTTTTTTTAACTTTTAATAATACTTTTGAAATATTATTTATTATAACATATAATACATTTTTTTGGTCTGATTTAATTTTAGTTTTTTGTTGGTGATTGCAATTAAAAAAAAAATTTTAATAAATTTGTAATTTGATTTAAATAATTCAATAATTAAACAAATTATTGTTAAAATTAAAACCAGGCGGTTCCAAAATAATTATTGCCGAAAATGTGGTATTATAACGTACGAATTTATAAGAGAAAATGAACTTTTTGGTTATTAAATGGGTAATTAGCATCGGGATTTTGGAAACCTCTGATTAAAACTTAATAACTAACAAGTATAAGTTCAACAAAATAACAAATATTTTAATAAATTATTATTAATCAACCATAATTAATCTTGTTTGTTTAATTACATTTATATTGAAAAATTAAATAAAATATTATTAAAATATTATTTTTTTTGTTCTCGAATTTTTTTAGCAATTTTTTTTTTTTTAAATAACTAAAAAGCTAATTTACTTTATTTATTTCAAATTTAAAATATATTGTTATTTAAATTTGTTTTCTATTACAATTTCGGGATTATCTGTGATTTGTATTATAATTAATTTTAATTTGATTTTGTTATTGTTTTAATAATTTAATTTAATTAATTTTGTTTTAATCAATTAAATTAACTATATAAAAATATGATAATTTTACTATATTTTGATACCAACTTTTAAAAAGTTGTTTTTATTTATAATTTATTATAAATTATAAAAATTAAATTAATTATACAAATATATTTTATTATAGAAAAAAATTATTTTTTTCAAATAAAAAAAATCACTATTTTTTACACAAAAAACACAACAAATACTTAAATTAATAATAATAGTAATTTTACTAAAGAAATAACTTAATAAATAAACTTAAAAAAAATTAACAAGAAACCATCACCAACCCCATTTTGCAAACTCCAAAAGAGAACCGTTAATTATTAATTAATAATAACTAAACCACATTTATTAGTAAATAATCCTTATCAACGTTGAACTGAATAATTTAGTGGATGTTTGCCTTTGACGAGAACGGTCGACCATTTATCATAGTACGTGAACAAGAAGAGAAGAAGGAGAACCGACTGAGAGGCGTCGAGGCGACACGTGCACACATTCTAGCAGCCAAAACTGTCTCAGACATTTTGAAAACCTCCCTTGGTCCAAAGGGTATGGACAAAATGATGGTCTCACAAGACGGAGATGTCACTGTATCGAACGACGGTGCCACGATCATGCAAGAGATGTCCATTGACCACCCAATTGCCAAATTATTAGTCGAGCTTTCACAGTCACAAGACTCTGAGATTGGTGATGGGACAACGGGGGTTGTTGTCTTTGCCGGTTCGTTGCTCGAACACTCGCTCAAATTAGTTGAGCGTGGTATTCACCCAACCCGTATTGCGATTGGGTATGAACAAGCCGCTCAAGTTGCCGTTGACGAGTTGAAGAGAATTGCCATTCCTAAGGAGAAGATGGATCGAGATGCCATAGTAGCTGCTTGTGAGGTAGCTCTTGGCTCCAAAATAGTAAACAGATGCAAAAGACACTTAGCCGAGGTGTGCACTGATGCTGTCTTGGCTGTCTACGACAAAGAGCGAAACGATGTCAATATGGACTTGATCAAGTTACAAACAAAAGCCGGAGGACAAATGGAAGACACTGAATTAGTCCAAGGGCTGATGCTTGAGAAGGAGTTCTCACATTCGCAAATGAAGAAATCAGTTGAAGATGCTAAGGTATGTATCTTGTCGTGCCCATTTGAGCCCCCCAAGACCAAGACTACGACTAACATGAATGTCACCAGTGTCGAGGCGTATAATCAGTTGTACCAACAAGAGCAAGACTACTTCAGAATGCAAGTCCAACGCGTGAAAGATGCTGGAGCGAATGTTGTGTTGTGTCAGTGGGGGTTTGACGATGAAGCTAACCATTTATTACTGAGCAATGGGATCAATGCCGTCAGATGGGTTGGTGGTGTTGAGCTTGAGCTGCTTGCTATTGCGACGGGTGCCCGCATAGTTCCCCGCTTTGAGGAACTCACTGCAGACAAACTTGGGAGTTGCAAATTGGTGCATGAGATGTCATTTGGGACCACTAAAGAAAAGATGATCAAGGTGGAGGGGTGCCCGAATTCGAATGCGGTGACCATTTTCATTCGAGGTGGGAACAAAATGGTGTTAGCGGAGATTGAGCGATCGATCCACGATGCGTTGTGTGTTGCGAGAAATTACTTGAGAGACGGAAGAGAAGTCTGTGGTGGTGGATCTGCCGAAATTGCGATGTCCCTTGTTGTTGCCGAAGCCGCTAAAAAGTGCACAACTGTCGAACATCATGCCATGTCAGTGTACGCAGACGCGTTGTTGTCGATCCCACATGCACTTGCAGAGAACTCTGGGTTGAACGCGATTGAAACGGTCGCACAAGTGAAACAAATGCAAATTGCAGAAAAAAGCTCGGTCTATGGTATCGACTGCTTACAACTCGGGACTACTGATATGACGAAACAAAAAGTATTCGAGTCCCTTCACTCAAAAACTCAACAAATTCTGCTTGCAACCCAGGTCGTCAAAATGATTTTGAAGGTCGACGATGTCATTGGCGCGGCCGGACAACAGAGATAAGTGAATCAGATTTTTTGACGTTCGATTTTGGTATTTTTATTCGTTTTGAGGAAACTAATTAAATGTATTATACTATTTAATATATTAAATCATTTATGTCTAATACATTATTTTGAACTACCAACAATCATCTATTTTAATAAAATAAATAATAAAAATTACTATAATTAATACTATAAAAGATTAATAAAAAAACGAGTTTTTTTAAGTCAAATTTGAACGAAAAGAGAAAAGTCGTTGGCTTAAAATAGAGTTGAACAAAGAAACAACAAATTTTTAAAGTGCACTAAAATTGCACACATATGACAAAAGAGATCTTGAGTCGAGACGTTTCTGGTAATCAGTACTTTCCTTCATTTGGGAGTAGCTACTCGTACTCACAACACCAAAACAAGGTCCTCCTCCAAAAACGAGAAGACCTGAAACACGAACTTTTGATCACACAAAAGCTCTGGTCGGCCTTTCCAAGTGCGGACGAATACATTTCCTCAAAGAGAACGTTAGAACCCCAAATTGACTTGGAAAGATCTTTGGAGGAGAAATCATCCATCAGCTGTAAACCCCCAGAAATTCGACTTTCGACAGCTAAGGTCTTTCGGTATCGCCCATTTTCTTTGATTCTGACGATGAGCTCGACTTGGAGAGAAAAGAAGGGTTTGAGCTTTGAACAAGTCTTCCAATCAGTGACCGCACTCAAGTGTAAGAAAGAAGGGGAAGAAGAGGAGTTTGCGACGTGCTCACAATGTGGAGGGAAGAATATTATAGAGATTGGAAGCTCGACGGGGTCATCATATCAACCCACCGTCTCCGACGATAAGACGGAAATGTATATCTTCGACCACTGCAAGACTAACTGTAGTTCATCAAGAGACCACCACAAGAAAAAGCTTCAAATAGTCATCACATTAAATGATGAAAAGGTCGTTACTGTCCCTTTCTCTATTCAAGCAAGAGAAAAAAAGACTTCGAAAGGGAAGATCGCACAAGCACTCAAACAAGAACAACAACAAGCTGAACAACAACAAAATATTCAACCGACACCACCAGTCAACGTGTTACACACCATCACACCAACTCAGAACTTTAATCAGTTTAACCCAATCCAACAACCTACCACGAGCTCCTCTGAACGTGTTGCCGTCTTTGTCTTCTCAACGTGTTTACAACAGAAAGAGAGTGTATTGCTCATTCAGAATTACAAGACGTATCTTGAGAAAATAGAAGGGTTTGTCAACATCAGAGTGTCATTCCTGGAAGGATTGGTGTTCGTCTTTGTGTACTTCATGGACGTTGCGCATGCGGAGGAGTGCGTCTCGATGACTAAAATGTTTGTGAACAACGACGCGCGATACCCTAATATGTACAAAAAGAAGTTGGCCGACGACAACTTGGCGATTTTACTGACAACGTTCCATAACTGGAATGACGTCACACAAGCCCCTCCGACGTTCTTCCCACAAGCCCCATTTTAATATGAAGACATTGATTTTTTTTATTAGGAATTGAGTTTAATAGCACAAACTAAAATAATTCAAATGGTGAAACTTGAAAAGGTTTTCATAGCAAATGTTGTGCTCTTTGTGAGTGACACAAAGTGTTTAGAAAGTATCGGAAATGTCAATAAAAAGTGTTTTGACGCTCTTGGAATGGTGAGACAATATCCGTATAACTTGGTATATAAAAGCCCAGTAGATATGGTGCGTGCAATTAAAACAGTGTCTCACGTGAAAAGAATTCTTCATAATTTGGAGTCTATTTCTCTCCCATTACATTTGCTCGCTGTTTGTGGACCAGTCTTTGAACATCTTCGATTAACTCACGTGTATAGTTTAGATGATATTCCATCGTTTTATGGTGACAAAATTGTATCACTGAAAATGACGCTTTTAAAACTCAGTGAAATTGATTTGACGAACTTTATTAACTTGAAAACAGTTTGTCTTAAATGTGATGAAATTCCATATGTGAAGTTAATGAAGTACCATAGATATTCATTGATCAAATTGATAACAAACACAGACAATTTCTGTGAGCAAGTCACTGCTTTGAAACAATATGACATTGAAAATATAGTTATTGTATATACTTCAAATGTGATATCGAACACTTCTAAATCTTTTTTATTAAAGAATCCATATATACAAATGTGTATGAAAGGTGATATAGAGTCTTTAACTGAACATGTGGTGTATCTCCAAAATAAAAAGAAGACGTTTGTGTTCACACACAAATTTCCAGTTTCATCGTTTGAGTCCTTTTATAACACTTATCTCCCACATTCGGTTAATTACTCGTCTTTGGCAGAGTACAATAAAAACGGATTTAACCAAATCACTTCACTCTGTTCATTCTCTTCAAACTTCTTACCAAAAAGTGTAAAACAATTGACTATGTCATCACCACTCTTCACATTCGACATTAAGAACTATACATCACTCACTGCATTCTCTATAGAAAATGCAAAGTTCGCGTTTTCACTGCCAACCAATTTGATAGAGCTGACTTTTATACATTGCACACCAGGTATCGACATGAACGAAAATGAAATCAGAGGGAAGCCAGTGAATTTCAATATCTACAATTTACATCGACTTAAAGTGTTCTCAAATTTTGCAACAAAGTGCAATTTCACATCATTTAAAAGACTCACTAACCTTACAAAAATTTCATTACACGGCTCACCTCTCCATATCGAAAATGCAAATAAAGTGTTTCCTTGTGGATTAATTCAGTTATCAATCGATCAACAAACAATTCCTCAAAAGTCGTACTTACAGGAACTCACAATTATCTCAACTCAGCAGTGTCCACACAAACTGATATGTCACACAGAACTCACGAAATTACTTGTGAACACAATAGCAGACAAAAACGCGTTTCCAAGTTCTCTCCAAGAACTTCACTTAAAGTGTGTTGCAAACTGTGTGAAGCACTTGGACTTATCTGGAGAACCTTCTTTGGTCAAAATCAACATCTCAAGATGCTTTGGTGATTTATTTATCCTCCTTCCAGACGACTTGGAGACGCTATACATAGAGAACACTAAAAGGTGTTTTGTTATAAATCGCACACCGCCAACAGTGGAGTGTGTTGTAATTGTTGACTCTCCTTTTGACGCTTCAAGAATCAATGCTAAGGTTCTTCAAAAAATTAGAAGACAAATAGACTCTCTCTAAAAATAGATAATACAAAAATTCATTATTTAATTCCATTCACTATTATAGACCGTAACAGCCGTTCGTTTGACCGAGTTGTCCGCCCTAAGAGTGCACCACATTTGATAACCGTCCGACATGCATTCACCACTAAAGAGTCAATATCAATTGTCATTAATTTATTATTAAACTATAATTAATTATAATTATAAAATTGAGGTTCTAATGTTATTCCAATACAACAAACCTTTGTGCAAAAAGAATATTTTGAATCCTTCACCGTGTTCGTACCATACATCCTCAACATAAGGAGGAAATGGAATGATTTCGTTGTGACAAACAACATTAATTTTGTACTTTGTGTTGTCTTGAGTCTTGACATGTGGCGTCACAACAATGAACAAACAGTTCATTTTCGAGACAAAAATAGGGTCAACCACATCAGTGTCGTCTTCCTTTTCTTTGAAAATGATGACAACGACATCATTTCCTACAAACCGCTTTCTCTCAAGTTGTTCGTCATTTGTGGTCGAAGGAAGAAGGGGAGCAACATGAAACGCAATTTCAAATCCACAGAAATTTGTGTAGTAAAAGTGACTGTTGGTGTCGGCATGAACCACGTCAAGGCCTCCACTGTATCTCTCCCATCCTTTCACTTCCTCCTCTTTCGATATTAAATTCATGAACTTCCAAAACGCCTCTGAGCACTCCGTGTTCTTGTACATCTCCAACTCATGTGTTTGGCCACCTTTTGCATACAACACACCAACTCGATGCTCACACACTATGTTGAGGTCCTCAAATTTGACCAACTCCTCCAAGAACTTCGACTTTGCTTTAATTTTGATTGGCGTCTCGGTGATTCCCATACTGTCTTTCCACCACGAAACACAATTTTGGTCACAAGGCAGTGTGAACCGATGAATCCCTTTTGGTTCAAAGACAAGTACCAGTTGCAGAATAAGACCCTTCTGGTAGCACAAAATGGTTCCACTCTCTTCGAATCCATAGAAGATCGACCGCGCTATGTGTAATTCATTTATACGTGTAAAAATAAAAGGTGACGTACGCAATGTACACAAGAAACAAACTTTTTCCATTGAAATACGACTTAAAGAACGAGAAGTTTGTCTCGATGTCAACAAATTGATAGAGCCCCAAGTCAGTGTTATGTGTGAATGAGTGTATTGAAGACTCTACGTGCATTCCATTTGCTTTGACGGAATTCAAATCGACGTTAAACGATTCTGCGTGTTCAGTCCACTCTTCTTTGGGTAATACCAGTGATGACCAACAGTCGTATTTCTTCCTGTTATTATCTTCAAATGACTCAATCAACACACAGAACATTTCTTGCTTGACCAAAAACCTTTTATTAGGTCTTACAATTTCAGGGATAAGTGAAGGGTAGAGGGGAACACTCGGCGTTTTAAAGATGACCTCGCACCTCTTTCGAATCTCCTCATCTTCGTCTATGCCATTCCCAAAGACGTTTTTAATAGTAGTGATAAGAGGGATATCCTCCATTAGCGACAATTTCTCTCTCTTTGGTCTCTCGAAGGTCATAAAACTTTTTCTAAAGACCTTTTCCTTAGGCTTTTTTGGTGTTCTTTTGGGGTTGGGAGTAGTCGGTCTTTCATCTGGTTGTGGTGATTCTGATAACGCGAGTTGTGTCATTTGTTCAGATGAGAGTGCACTTTTGTGTGATCTAAAGAAGGTGAAGAAGGACTTTTTGTCGGTGTCTGCGGGTTGAGTAAAGCCTTCTGAAGCGGATGTTCTGCGGGTTAGAAAAGAAAAGTGATTTGTCTTTGGCTTTTCTTCCATCACAATAAAAGAATGAGTTTGTTGTTATTCTTTTTTTCTACTCAAAAAAATCCGTTTTTCTACTCATTTGATTTTTTTCAATCAATAAACAATTTATACATTCTGACTTTTTTTATTAGGTTTCTCGTTTGTATTTTTATTATTATTATTCAATTATGTTATTGTACAGTTGTATGGAAATTAAATTATTATAATTTAAATATTACTATCAATCAAATCTATCTTGTCAAAATGTTAATGGTGTGAAAAGTTTTCAAATGATTTTATCGGTTATTCAATTATCTAATACTTCCATTTCTTGTATACGAGTATTATTTTTATAATTGTGGTTTTCCGATATAATAACAAGATGTTGTAATAGAAATAATTTATACTATAGGTTTCTATTATAGGTTTTTGTAGTTTAGCCAATTCAAACCAAATTCTGATGGTTCTAGTTAACAAAAATAAACTAGTTTTCAATCAAATTATAATATATACTATTTTCTATATTATATTTTATAAATATATTAATATATAAATTTAATACAACAGATAAAAAAAATAGTAAATATGTAGTTAAAAAAACTATACTATATTATGAAACAAAGTAGAGGAATAGACAGACACATAATTCAATTTTGTTTGAAGATGAAATTTTGAAAGATTGCGGTACCTAAAGAGACCTGTGCATATGGGTCGACTACAGTAACTTTTCTTACTGGAGGGAGAGCAGCGACCAATTTTGTCATCGTTGCCTTCTTGCTAAATATAAATACTATTCTTTACTAGTAACCGAACTATACCTAGATGCCACATGATAGACTCCATTTGTACAAATAAAATTCGAATAGAACACAGAACAAACGGTTGTGGGTAGATTTTTTTGACCAAATCTACCATTGAGTGTGGGAGAATTAAAGGATTTCCTTGTGCGAATAATTCAGCGGGTTGGAAGGAGTCGATGTTGAGTGGGATAATTTTGACGACTTTGCTGACGTATTCGAATCGCTTCATATCATTTGACCCGAGTATAAGCCGATTTGTTTCTTCCATTTTGATGACGACATTCATCACCATGTCTTGTGTGATTTTTGGACACGTTCTGAGTAAATAAACAAAGAGTTGTTTGTCCAAAAAAGAAAAGAAGAGGTTGACGTACTCTTTCACAAACAGTTCGTCGACTTTCATCTCTTTCATACACTTCAAAACAGTGGTCACGGGGTTTAACACGGCCTCAGACTTATTTTTCGATTTGACATTAAAGAAGAGATCCTCAAAAAGTGTTGTTTTTGCATTCGAGAAGTCCGTCAGAGCAGTTAATATCCCCGACACACACTTCTCCATGATCGCGCGGAATTTGTCGAATATCGTTTGGTCCATTGTAAGTCGCGTTTTACTCATACAAGTCCACGCATACACACGCAACACCGTCGACAGCCAAAAACACAATCTCTTCGGACACCCTCCAGACAAGTGGATGATGCCGTTAATAATTTCAAACAGTCGTGCTAACACGTGTAAGTCGGGTTCTATAAACAACTCGTCGTTTTCAATATGCGAACAAATGATATTTGACATCGTCGAGTTATTCCCATCAAAGGACATGTCATTATTTAACATCACTCCATCAATGAGGAATAAGTAATCCGCTTGGGACTGGAACTCCGAGTTCGTCACTGATGGCCCCTCTTTCTCTAATTCGTCTTTTTCAACTTTTAATGTTGTGATTTGTTGATCCAACTCGTCTAAAGCCTTCTCGTTGGCTTCAAACTGATCTTTTAAGTCATCAAGTCTCCGCATTAATTCACCTATCGAATTGGTGTCTTCGCGAAAGGAAGTCTCTTGCGACGTTTCTGATTGCATCGAAACATGTGAAGTCCCAATTCGCTTCTCAATCGCGGCAGAAGCACCCTCACTCACAACTATACTGTACGGCGACGACACCGACCTGTTCGGTAAGACTCTCTTGCTTCATCACAATAAATAGTTTGTTATTAGTTAATTTATTATAAAATGTAGAATTTGTCTTGAAAAGCAAGTGTGACAAACGAGTTCTTCTCGGCACAGAAAATCGATATGATTGCCTCGGAATATCGCAGCGGACCATCGTCGAAATTACACTTAAACAATTTTTCCTCAAATCTGCAATACTCGGCCAAATTGATTCGGACTCGTGCGATCACCTCTTCCTTCGCTATTTTACACTGTGAGGCTACTAACGAGAGAATTAATTCTTTCTTCTTGAATGAATCACCATTTTGGAGAAGTCGAGTGTCAAACACAAACCGTGAGTTGATGTTTGCACAGCCTTCATTCACTAACACCATCTTCAACGTCCCACTCTTCTTCTTCGACCCACGCCACCACTTCATAAACACTACTCGGTTGTTCACTTTGTCAAGACCAGTAATCTCACGTATTTCAACAGTAAAGGTAAAGACTTTTGTATTACGTTTCCGAGAAAACATCGCCTCTCAATTTTCAAGTTCTTTTCAAAGTATAATTTAATTTATTTGTTAATACATTATTTATTGGTGAAAATACTATTTTGAAACTATTTGTTTAATACATTGTATTTTAAAGGTGATTATTAGTTTAATAGTAATTTGATAGATATAAGTTAAAATAACAATAATTTTAATAAAAATTCACTTAATCAAACATATTCAAAATTAACTAGTAATTAGATAGTAAAAATAATTATAAATTTAACTAATAATATAATAGTAAAATTTTTAATGAAAAATAAATTATAATAAAATAAGTTATAATACAACAATACCATTTTATCGGAAAATAAAAAAATATCCTGATGATTTTTAGTAAAAAAACACCAAAATATATTCCGATACCAATAATAATTAATGTTTTATCAATAATCGTTAATTACTTTAAAAAACAATAAAAAATTAGAAACAAATAGTTTAAGATATCACATATCATGGAATTCGACATCGCTTTGATTTTCTTTAATAGGCTCGAAGACAAGGTCCTTCAAATCTCTTTCATCCAAGTCGGTCATAATTTTCAGATTTTCAATTTTCAAATTTGGTTTAAGTAAAGGCAAATGTGTTGTGAGTAGATTTCCCGCATTTTGTGGTGTGTTATTTTCACCACTTTGCTCTATTCGAGTTTTGATATTTTCATACCCAGAAAGGACACCTCTCAGCTCTTTGATTTGTACCTTCAACCTTTCTTCTATTGAGCGTTCTTGAAATGGAACAACAACGGGAAGTGTTTCGGCGTCGTTAACAGGTGGTGTTAACATGTCTTTCAAATCCTTATTTGGTTCGACCCACTCATCATAATACTTCTTAAAGCGACTTATAAATCTCTGCGAACTACTAACATCAACATACATTCTCCAAGCCAATGTAGTAAAACGCGTCACTATCCCGCTCTGTTCAAAAGACTCAGTTATCATTTTATGTATTCCAGAATGTCCAAAGGTCCCAAGAACGTTACCAAAGACTATTTTTTGAGCATCAGAATAGAGTGGAGTCCTCCCCTTCGACAAATTGACTTCTTTCTCACACAAAGTCGACAACAAGTCTTTAATAACATTCAACTTCGCGCATTCTCTCATCGAAGTGTTTGTCATATGCAAACCCATTTTTGCTTCATAAAGACACAACTTAAACGGGTCGACGACGTTCTCTGTACTTTCGTGGAAAGTGTGAACAAAGATGTTGTTGATGTTAAAATGGCGTTTCAGAGTGTTAAGTGTATGAACACCCGCAGACATAAGAATAAGACTGGGCTCTTTCTGAGAGAGTCCCAGTTGTGTCTTCGTTGCGCTGATTGTCTTTAAGACAAAGTTCAACACCCACATCTCAAAGATCTCTTGTGTGACGTATCCCGTCTCAGACTTCATGAAAGTGATGTGGTCAAACTCTTTTGCTACACTTAAAGCAACCGTGTCCTTCAATACAGTAAATGCAGTACAACAACTCTTTCCGTCCAAACTCGTCATTGTGAGCATTGAAATCCTTTTGGGGACCTTTCCAATCCCAACTTTGATGGTGTCTGTGTCGACACTCTTAGGTAACATGATCTCCACTTTTTTGTCTAATTCACAGACATCATCTTGTAGAGAAATTTCACTGATATTAAAGACTAAACAAGCTCGTGTGGTGTTGTACTTTGAAAGTGAAATATAGTTGTTGATGATATCTATAGGCTCCACTGTAAGACCACAAAATGGCTTAGGAGTTCCAGAGACCATTTTTAAATTGAAGTCCTTTGTTATAATCTTTCTGAGAGTGTCCCGTGAGATGTACTTGTGTTGCACTGTTTTAATAACTTCCATTAAAGAGCCCATTGTAATTGCAAATTTCTGGTCTAACACGTATCGAACAAACTTTTGAAGGACTAAAAGAGTCAACGGCTTAACAACATATGGACGACCAACACACTTCCTTCCATGCTGTTCGTCACTTCTACTACACTTCTTGTCTTTATTAACTCTCCCGTGACTTGTTCCTAATAAAACAGCACATGACCTATCCGTGCAAAATGACGTTTTCCCATAATTCTTGAAAATAAAGCCAACTTGTGCTCTCAAACTCACTTGATTGAATAAGAGAGGATTCATTTCAAGCTGTACTAAAAGATGTCCTGCATTTTCTATGTCTTTTTTGGTGTACTTGTCTCCAGGACTACTTGTGTTGTAATTCGTTCGAAGCGCATCGAGTGTTGGGACGGGTGGCTTTAACGTCTTATACGTCTTTGTCGTCTCCGGGATCTTCGGAAGAGCACTCTCGGGTAAAGCAGAGCAGTCTATTAATAATTTGGAAGCAATTAACTCAGAAAAATGTAGTGAAGTAATGATGTACACGTGTTCTTCTTGACTGTTAAAAGGATTCGTCGGGAATTCTTCTGACATTTTCGTCTTTTCAAGTTGCAATAAAAGAAAAACAGGGTTACAATCAAGTGGTTTTATCTTTTTCCTTCAAAATAAAAACTACAAATTTACAATTAAAAAACTATTAAAAGTATTATTCCAATAACATGAGAAGTCGTTTTTGAATTTTTTAAAAATTTTTTAAAACATTTAAAAACAACAGCATTTATTACGACAGTTTACCACAATCAAATAAAATCATTGTTTATTAATAAAAGTATTATATATATATAGTAAAATGAAAGCAGCACAACTTGTATAATGAAATGCCATGTTTCATGTTCTTTGGTTACTTTCAAAAGACTATAATAAGGCATTACAACATGTATAGAACTATTAAAAGAGATGCTGAGCGTAAATATATCTGTGGAGGTTCCACGATGTCCAGAAACAACATTTACTTACAAACTCGACCCCACCAGTCCTATACAAAAGCTGGTGGATGAACTTTGTGAAAAAGGGAATGTGAAAGATAGTGATCAGTGCGCACTGTTTTTAGAAAATGGCGTTATCACGGACCAAACGATAGGAAGTATTAAAGATGGAAATATATTGAAACTGGACTATGCCCCAGAATTTTCCGCTCGACTTGCTTATGACCAACTTTTAAAAGCCACTAATGTGGAAGAGGTCAAAAGGATATTCTTTCAAATGAGAGGGAAGACTACAATACCAAGTTATGTAGCCGAATTTGCTCGACTTGGAGGGATGGACGTGATCTTAGAAAAGGTGACCAAGTGTGAAGGGAATGTTCAAGCATATGGCTTAGTCCTCTTAAGAAACGTCATGAGTTTTGACTCAGGGATGCAGAAGTGTGTGAGCAACGAGAACATGATCAATTTCCTATTCTCATTGGTTGATGTGGGTGTTGTAGCAAACGCATGCCGACAAGCCCTTGATTTACTGTTTGTAGCAATTCACTACGGTGGCTTCCAAATGCTATGGAATGCGGTTAAAGAACGAGCAAGCAAAAGAAACGAATTGCCTTTAGCGAATGTTGTTAATTTGATGAAGTCTGATGACATCGAAACAGTTGGAAATGCCATCACTTTACTGAATGGAATACTGAAAGTAGCCCCACAAGACAAGAAATATGGCATTCGTATGAAATTGAAATACCAAAGCGTCCACCACATTCTTGTCGATTTAAAGAACAAGGCGTGCAAGAATGAGTTAAAAGAACAAATCAATCAATTAGAGAAATACTTCTATTCTGATGAAATCATTAAAGGGAAGAAGTCACTAGCGAATACCATAGACAAAGAAATGGAACGAATGCGTAAATTAAAATTAGACAATGAAGCTCAACAAAAGGAGTTAAACACTTTGAATGATCTTATTAGAGACATGAACAGTAAATTGCCGACGTATCGAAGTGAGTTTGATGCCGTTAAAAACGACATTGATGCCATTGAAAAAGAGATCGAACCTCTAAAACAAAGTCTTTTAAGAAAAGATATCCTCAAAGCAATGAACACAATGTCTGAAGATGAGCTACGCAAAGAGTGGGTGAAATACAAAGTGCTGTTAGATAGTGTCCAACAAGAGAAAGCAGAATTAAATAAGACAGTTGAAGAGAAACAAGCCACTGCTATTAAGCAACCAATGCTCACGCGTTCCCAACAAACTTTTAATACTCCCCGCGACAAAGTCCGAACAACAAAATTCCTTGAGACAAGAAAAACAAAACCAAAGACAACAGAAAAAGTCGAATTGAGAAAGGCTGAATTAGAACCCCAAGAAAAAGTCATTCGAATACCTTGGAGAAGACTTGTGATCACACCAAACCCAAAGAAACCAACGATTTGGGACGACATGAAAATCACTCATGTCAGAGAAAAACAACTAAAGACCATCTTCGTCTCAGAAGTCACCGTAACAAACTTCTCATACATCGTCGACGCTCAGAAACTCGTCGCTTTGTCCGTGTTGTACTCTAAACAACCGAGTGAGTCGAGATTGTATGAGGCATTCACTTTAATGTACTCAAAGGCCTTTGACCAAAAGACGTTCGACTTACTGAAGAAGGCACTTCCGACTGAGGCGGAGGCGTTCCAGCTGATGTCAGCGCAAGCGTTGAACCCCCCGGAGACGCTAATGAAACGAATTGCGTTGAGTAAGAACATCTTACAAAAGATAGGAGTCTGGTCGCAAATCAAAAGTGTCGAGAAGGCGGTGGACGAGATACGTGAGAAGGTATCTACAGTTGAGCATGGTGTTCGAGTGTTGAAGAAGAGTAGTGCATTGAAGGAAGTCTTTTCTGGTGTGTCGTTTTATAATGGGCAACTGCAGTTGTATGATTCCAATGAAGGGTTTGATATGTCTTCTTTATTGTTGTTTAAGAACATGAAAGTACAGACGGGAGAAACTATGCTCGACGTGTTAGTGAAGAACTGTAAAGAAATTAAAGTGTTTTTGAATGAACTCAGAGATGTTAAAACAGCAGCTTTGACTGATTTGGAGGGAGAAATTAAAAAGGCTCGATGTGTGGTGAGTGAAGTCGAAAGAATGAAAGACGAATTAAACCAATTGAGTGAAGAAGATATGAACGTCGTCACCGCTGAGGTCGGAAGAGTCAAAAGTAAAGCTATGGACGTCATCCAATATGGCGAAGATGTGTTGTCCAATTTCTTTACATTGATATCGTGGTGCTTCTTCTCTCAACAAATACAAAACGTCGTTGACACTCGCCTATTCTTCGGAATACTCGCTTCATTCCACGCTAATTTGTTGATGTCTAAAGCTATCAACAGACTCAACGCTTATGACCAAATGAAAAGAATGAGAATTAATAAGGTCGGCGGATCAGATAAAGATACAGATCTTATGCTCGACATCATCGAAAAGATTAGATCGGGTGAAATTGGTCGACAATTCCTCAAAAAAACTACTTCAAATAAGTGAGAGGTTCTTTTATTAGTTAAAATAGTATTAAAATGCTATTATTAATTACTGAGTAATAGAGGTATTTAATTAATAATTATAGTATATTAGATATATTACTATATTTTATTTAATATATAAATAATATATTAAATAATAATAGTTAATTTAATACTATTAAATTATAATTATAAATATAATAACAATGATAATTTCCAACTCTTCACAACAAATAATTAAAAAAATGTTTTTGTTTTCAATACTAAAAAAAATTTATTAGAAAAAATTTGGTAAAACGATTATTAAAAGAAGTAAAAACAAGAGGACAAATCAAATTTTAAACAAAATAATTTGTTACACACCATCTTAAATAGATTTGTTTTTATAATCAAATTAGTTTAAATATTAGTCTTATTAATTTAATTCAAAAATTATAATCAATTTAAGTTTTCTGTTTGTAAAAACAAGAAATACAACACAAAAAAATACGCTACAAATCGGGAAGAAAACAAACACATATTTAAACGGATTTCACATGTAAGTAATTACACACCGTTTTACAAAAGTTAAATCGAAACAAATTATAAAACAACTAATAAAGAATAAAAAATCAATTAAAAATCAACTAGTGTTATGAACCACAAAAATATTGAAATTCAGAAGGACAAAAAATGAAGAACTCGAAAAAGATAAATCAACAGACCCACTTTTTTTGCCGCAAAAAAAAATGTGTATTACCACTGTTAAAAAAGTCAACGAATTTTTTTTATATAAAATCGTGCAGTTAAAAAAAAAACACTCTTCAAAGCAGAAATGCACATCAACCCGATGAAATCAAAAACACCACAAAAAGAGTATGAAAATAGTAAAAAGATAGTTAATAAATGTTAAATAAATAGTAAAAAGGGAGGTTCGGACAAGAACTGGAATTGAATAATATATTATATGAAATTCTTACTGTTTGCATTACTGTGTTTGTCCTATGTACAAGCAGTCGAGGATGACCACGAAGTCCAAGACGTTTTTGACACAGATGAGGATGAGTTTAATTTAGAAAATGAAATCGCGTCTGATGAAGACGATGAAGTTGACATCGACGACGAAGAAGAAGAAGATAATGAGGAAGAGGAGGATGAAGAAGATGATGATGATGACTTCGAACTCTCCGATGACGACGATGATGAAGATAGACGACGAAGAAGACACGGAAGATCATGGAGAGGAAGAAGAAGACATCACCGCCGTGGGGGGAGAAGACACCACAGAAGATATAGCCGACATAACAAAAGAAGACACAATAGAAAGTGCCCAAAGGGAAGAAGAGGTAAGAAGTGTCGAGCAAGACTTGCCCGTCTTAACGCGCAACGACGAAAACAAGCCGTTGTCAAAAGAAAGCAAGTTCAAGTGAAGAAACAAGTCAAACGTGTAGCTCGCAAAGCAGTGAAAGCAGTCAAGATGTCTGCTCGTGCTGCCATTAAGTACTTCAAGAAAGAGAAATTCATCGGCAAACCAATTAATGCCCAACTCGAGAAACAAGCTGCTCAGGCATTGTTGCCAAAGTACGAGGCCATCTTAAAGAGAGTCGACCTTAAACAACCGACCACTGAGAAACAACAAGAGAAGGCGAAAGAAATGGTCCACAAGTTGAAAGGTATTATACAAGGAAGATACTCCGTCAAGTATATTGCAGAGGTCTTAAGAGAAGCTGCTGAACAGATCAACAAGATCAAATTAATGGCATATAAGAAGACAGCCACATGCTCTTGTAAGGCGATGAAGACCGTCAGAAGACAATTGAAAGGACTGAAGAGAGAATATCGAAAGATGAAGAGTCAATATACCGATATAACAGGGCAAATCAACGCTTTGAAACAACAATTAATCAACGAGAACATCGTCTCGATGTATAAGGAACGAACTCTTGAGCTTGAGTATAAGCTGAAGATTCAAAGACTGCTGAAGGAGAAATGCAAGCTGAGACTTGCGATGAAAACAAACAAAGTGGCCGTTGCAATGACGACTAAAGTGGAGAAGGCTGTTGAGAAAGCCGAGAAAATTGCGAAGAAGGCGATTTTGAAATCCGGAGGAGACGTCAAAGTGATTCAAAAAGCTCAAAAAAAATTGAAGGCCGCTCTGAAGAAATTGGTTCCAAAGAGTGAGGCGAAGAAAATGGTCAAAGAGATTATGGTGAAGGAAGTGAAGAAGATGGCGAAGAGCGCTGATATCCCAAAGAAAGAAATGAAACAGATGTTAAAGAAGGTAGAGAAGAAGGAAGTAAAGACTGAGGAAAAGACGGAGGAAAAGAAGAAGGAAAAGAAGAAGGAAGAGAAGAAGGAAGAGAGTCCCGTCGAAAAGCAAACTAAGGAAGTAGTTAAGGCTGTAGCGAAGCCAAAGAAAGTCGCTAAAAAGGCGATTAAAAAATGCCATCTTATATTACAAGACACTGCAAAGCAAATGGAGAAAATCACTAAGTGTACCACTAAGAAGTGCCAACAAGACAATGAACTTGTTGCACGTTTGACGGACCAGATCTACAATAAAATTGTTGCCACCAAATAAATTCTTTTTTGCTTCATTTTGGTTGAATGTGTTTTACTATAAGTATATAGTAAATCAATAATATAAAAACAGTAAAACTTCCCAAAAGCGGGAGGGTGTGGTTAATTTGTTCTTTCAAGAGCGGGCATTTTTAGCCAATCAAACCTTAATTACCGCTCGATAGAGAACTCTATTTATAGTTTCAGTCTCAAAAATGCCCGCTCTTGAGAGAACTTGCTCTTCAGAGG